AATGTGAATCCGGATTCACACGGTGAATCCGAAAAATATTTTTCACATTCACAATATTAATATATGAATTTAGAGATTTTTAGATATTTTTTTGATAAAGAATAAGCTCTAGAAATTGAAAAAAAGATTTGGTTCCTTGAAGAACCAATAATTATGGTTCTCTATTGAACTTTTCCATATATATATATATATATATATATATATATATATATATTGTAAACAGTTTGCAAATCAAATCGATATCAGAAGAAACCGTCTATCATTATTCAAAAAAACGGACCACAATGAGTGTTCTTCAAAGCTACTTACATGCATTTTGAACTATTGTAGCTGATTATTCAAGAACAAAAATGACACTTTGTATATAAAGAAATAATAAATAAATATAAGATCATTATTTTTTAGTTAACTCTGCTACAATCCCGTCTGATTTCACCCTGGTTCCCTGTTAAAACCCCAACTCTGCCAAGCTTTGTCATGGCTGCCACAAAAGCTTGGTTGAAGGCATTGTTGTTCGATGCAAATAGGTTAACAGTTGGTCTTGACCGATTATCTGTGTACAAGATTTGGTCAGAGCTAAACAAGCCTTTTCCTTGTTGGAGATTCTGATAATACACATTGTCGAATGTGCGAGGGGTTGTGGGGTCCATGTTGATCGCGATCCTAGGATCTACATTTACTGGACACATTTGTCGAAGCTGAAGAGCGTATTTTGTATTTAGTGTTCGGTCTATTCCAGATTTCGTATAAATGCGCTTTGAAAATTGACCACAGTGAGAGAATCCAAGTGTATGTGCACCTGGAAAACAACAGGTTTAATCAAAATGTGATCGATTAAACAGTATAAATATACAATTTTCATTGAAGTTAAAGACAACAGGATCAATATATATGTCGCATTGTATCGAATATTTACCTGAAAGTGCAATCATATCGGTTTGAGATAGACCATGAAACGCGAACATGGTATTAAGTTGGTCAAGTGTAAAATCTGCGTGTGGAAGTTTGTGTTGGACACTTTTCTTCGTAGAGATTCTTCCATCTCTCCTTCCTAATTCCACCTTGTATGATGGCCCACCTGTCTATATATTTAAAGAAAACAAAACCCAAACTAACATGTTAAAGCTTATAAACCATCAATTTAGAATAGGATAAAATATAGAAAATACCTGTATTTTCATATTTTCTATATTTAATCAGTTAACTAATTTTTATAGCAATTAAAATACTATTTCTTTACCCTTTACAAACAATATTTTTTTCGAGTGCTCCATGAAAAATAATCAGTATAACCAGAAGTGATACAATAATTAATATTTACCAGGGCTACAACGTCTCTAGTGGCAAGGGCTAATATATCTGCGCAAGACACTTTATTACGGCAGTTTGGATTGCTGTCAACGGCGGCCTTTGCTTTGATGACGGTGTCAAATCCATCTCCGGCAAGTGACAAATCGTCATGATGATCCCTCTCGGCATTAGGATTGGACAGAAAGACGGAAGCATCACAACCCTATAACAACATACAATAACTTATAAAATTACCAATCTAAAACCGAAGTTAAGAGAACTATAGCAGGTATAATGAAATTAGACTAACCCGAACAAAACAGTCGTGAAAGAAGAGTCGAAGAGTGCCTGGAGCAGTAACGAAAGTCTGCTGGAATTTCTTAGTGACTGCTGATCGGACTATGGATTCGACATTTGGGCAACTGGTTTGATAGAAATTTTGTCTAAGTTGTGCGTAAGACGTAGCAACAAAGAAAGAGAGCAACACCAAAGACAGAATTTGCTTCTTCATTTTGCAGTTTCTTTCTCTTTCTCTAGTAACATTGTCCGTGAAGATGTTTATATAAGTACTTATAAATATTATTTTATTATTGCCATTGGTTACTATAAATATGTTTATATAAGTACCTATAAATATTATTTTATTATTGCCATTTTATTTATATATATATATATATATATATATATATATATATATATATATATATATATATATATATAT